CCACCTTTGACCATGCCTAAGATTTGAATAAGATTGTGTTGTCTAGTGACGTCACGGCGTTGCAAATTGTCGTTCAATGTGCATAGAATGATAAGATACTTGGCAAATTATAACTTCTGAAAGATTCATTATTTCAGAACGTGAATACAAAACGTTTCTCGCGTGTTATTTAGAATTTTTGTGTTAAGAATGGATTATTAACTCGCATAAATAAGGATAAGATTATTTAACGGGCGTAAAAATCATACGTACAGACTACTTCACTACCGCTTCATTTAATTATGGTCAGGATTATTGGATGATTCAAGCGACGTTCTCTACTATAGTTTTCGATAACAGATTTTAACTTCATAACTGTAAATATAAATTTAAAAATGTAACTTTATAAATAACTTTATTAATAAACACATTGATTTCTCATTGTAGTTTGTTCTGTATTGTTATTTTCGTAAGCATTAACACACGATGTCTTCGGTAATAATTTTAATAGCTCTTTTATCCTTATCGATCTAAGTTTTAGGAATACAATGTGTTATGTGGAATAAGATATAAGAGAGATATTGAAGTTACTTATTTATCTAAGAAAATGCAAGTATCTCGTAGTTGAAACTTGCAACAAAGAATCAATTAAACAATAATGTTCTTATAAGAAATTTAAAAAAATAATAAAAATGGCAATTTATTTCACAATTCCGGATTGTTATATAATGGTATGTCGTTTCATTCGATTTTCTCTTTCTTTGCCGCGCGTTCCACAATACCACTATTTTAGTTAATTACATAATTGTTACCTTTAAGCGGCAAGTTTTAAGGCATTTACATAACTACACAAACATGAACTACTCTTCATCTCATAAAATATTCCCAGTATTTTCTGAGAAGTAATCGATATGTCTCGAACATGCGGTCAACCGAGAGCTGCTACGGTCAGTGAACATTGAAATTGGAAAGCGTTGAAGAACGGCTGGCGACGCGCATGGTCACTGTGTTTACAAACCTATATTGGTATTATCTCTGAAAAGTTGGTTCTCTTGCGCGTGTGTAATAGGCCAGATAATGAACGACGCGCCCCGCGCGCCTCCGATGGGTCAGCGCTTGCCCACGCGCCGCAGGCCGCGCTGGGCGCAGCTCTGAGACAGCGCCCGGCTGCGAGAGCTAATTGGCGGCCGTTGTCTGCAGCATCGCTGACTGGCGCTCTTAGGGTTTAAATCCCAACGACAGCGGATTTTTGACTCTAGCTTCATAGCCAGGTCGAATTCAGTCGCTGTCTGGAGGGGAACTCCAGTGCTCGGCTGTGAGAGATCAGCGACGGTGTTGTCTCTGTGGCATCGCTGACTGGCGCTCTTAGGGTTTGAGTCCTGACGACAGCGTTGTTTTGTCTCAAGCTTCATAGCTACGTCGAATTCAGTCGCTGTCTGGAGGGGAACTCCATTGCTCAGCTGTGAGAGCTCATAGGCGGCCGCTGTTTTTGTACCACCGCTGACTAGCGCTCTTAGGGTTTGTGACCTGACGCAAGGGTTTTTTGACTCAAGCTTCATAGGTAGGTCGAATTCAGTCGCTGTCTAGAGGGGAACTCCAGTGCTCAGCTGTGTGAGCTCAGCGACGGTGTTGTTTCTGTAGCATCGCTGACTGGTGCTCTCAGGGTTTGAGCCCTGACGACTGCGGATTTTTGACTCTAGCTTCATAGCTACGTCGAATTCAGTCGCTGTCTGGAGGGGAACTCCAGTGCTCAGCTGTGAGAGATCAGCGACACTGTTGTCTCTGTGGCATCGCTGACTGGCGCTCTTAGGGATTGAGTCCCGACGATAGCGTATTTTCGACCCTAGCTAGGTTGAAATCAGTGCAATTCAGCGGAGAACTCCAGTGCTCAGCTGCGAGAGCTCATTGGCTGCCGCTGTTTCTGTAGCATCGCTGACTGGCGCTCTTAGGGTTTGAGTCCTGACGCAAGCGTTTATTTGATTCAAGCTTCACAGCTAGGTCGAATTCAGTCACTGTGTAGAGGGGAACTCGAGTACTCGGCTGCGAGAGCGCAGAGACGGATTTTTCTCGGCAAAATTGCTGACTGGCGCTCCTAGGGTTTGGGTCCTGCCGACAGGGGATTTTTGACTCTAGCTTCATAGCTAGGTCGAATTCAGTCGCTGTCTGAAGGGGAACTCCAGCGTCCGACTGCTCTGATCGGTGAACGTCCATTGTTTGTGCGCTCGTTACAATACTAATGCCGGAAAATAAATCTAATATAAGAGACGACGACCGCGCGCGATATATCGTTACTGACCTCCTTCACTACACTACCGCTTACGTTGGAAGGCCAGTCGGGAGCTTATGAGTTTGATCTGGCAGGGGCGGTGTACCGCTAGGAGAGATACCTAGAGAGAGAGAGAGGGGGAGGAGGGAGAGGGAGACGGAGAGACGCTCGCAAGCAGACGTGTAAATAGACGCCAGATCTCACTTTTCAACGGGTCACCTTCCACCGCTGTCACCATTTTAATCTCTCCTTCGTCTGTGGCGTCATACGGGTGTAATCGAACACAGACGAGTGGTTTGTAAAACCGTAGATTTATTAACAATCTAGACCGTAGTCTCATTTTAACTACCCTGCACACAATAAACTAAATAAATAGACCCACTACAAGGAGAGATAATTTAAGAACGGCTACCACACCTCGCCCTAGTGCACCTACACGCACAAACAAGCGCATCACCTGTCGCCTACGCCGCTAGCACAAGAAGACTACGCCATTGTTCTCCTGGCCTTTATATAGGTCCTTTTGGCTCTACCCGCTGCGCCCATTTCCTCCTCCCCAAACCCGCACTGGGCCCGCTACGTCCACAGAAAATCCCAGTGCGTCATCACTCCGCTCATTGTTTAACATCCGGCGGTTTGAGCGTGGCACACATGCAACACCACTATTTTGCACTAGGCGCTACCATGACTGTAACCGTCAATTACTTACCCCTGTCTGCACGCGTCAAATACTTGGGCCATTGGGCACAAATAATTGACGCGTTCGAAACAACATTCTCTCAGTCTGAGACATAACGGCCCCTGCCACACGCGAATGCGGACAAGAATGATTCCATGGTACGCAATCTGTGCTAATGGATGTCTTCGTAAATGGAACCTACTGACCGTTCTGTTACGGTGTTTGCGACGCTGAAGGAAATGGTCTGAAAATTGTATTTAACTTTTGCTTTCTGATTTGCGCAGTAATACACTGAAAATATTATGTAATTCTAGATGAAATTGATTTAATTTTGACACACGTTTTGCGGAACCGTGAAGGTGTTTTTTTCCAAAAAATTCTATATGCTTGCCAGTTCGCATCTTTGTTCTCTGTCAATTAATTTTGTCTCAGGTTCTCTGGCAATTTTTGCTTCCTGCTGTTGTTGAACGACGATTACGAAATTAGGATTTTATACCTGGCATTATTAGTAGATGTATGAAGTCAGGAAAGGTCGAATGGTGATTTAATGAAAACTATTGTATACTTTGTTCAGTATGGTTTATTTTGGACAGAAAGACTCAACTCAGAGACTTCTGTAATACAAAACTCTTATTTCATAAATTTTCTGATTAAATGATAACGATTGCTTCTTTCAAGAATTTCCTTCAGGACATCCTTCATTTCATATTTTGAACATTCAATCTTTGGATCGGTGACCTTTAATTACATAGAGTTAAATTGAAAAAAATCGATATACTAAAGTAATATTATCCTTTTAACATCACAGCGAGATTTTTCTTCCTCTTGCGGGAACTTATTTCTTCAACTTATTATGCATCCAATAGCCTGATTTATTTGAAATTAATGCACTGTTTGTAGTGTGTTCTGTTTTACAATATTTTATTAATAATAATTTATAATCATATAGTTGAAAGTATTTCATCTTAATTTATTCATATTAACAACTTGAGATCTTTTGAGAAAGTGGGCATCGTTTACAAAAGGTGATAAACGACGTTGTTGTTCAGGTTGTATGAAATCCGCAAAGTAAATGTTAGAAGGAAAGTGATCTTATTTTCAGTGTCAAAAGGCTAACTCATGTTAATCTTTCAAATATTTACTAACAGAAAATCACATTTGTTTGGAAAAATGAATAAAAATTCAAATCTTATGGTTTTAATCAGCGAAGTATTTTTGTAATTTAAATACCTATTTTCGCTTACAGGAACTCAATTAAATCGAAGATAGAGAGAGTACTTTTTGAAGTGGAGGCTAGAACGTCACTCCGATAGTTAATAATTTTTATTAGAACGAATACGTGAAATATAATATATTGTACTTCTAGATTGACTCCGTTAAAATGAACGAAAGGTTTTGCGATAGAATTTGGTTATTACATTTTCTAGGAAACACATTACAAATGAAGATACATATTATATTCATTAAAAAATGAAATTTAACTTGCCCTGCAAGTATTTCCAACTCTTTCCAGCACGGGGGTACAAAATAGTACCACTCTGCTCAATGCATTAGCCGCACGGAGATACACAATTTGAACCATTATTTCTTCTGTGAGTGTGCTCTTGCATGGTAGGATAATTTATGAACCACCGCAAAATAATGCAGAAAATAGTTCTCAGAAGCACTGGAAGATGTTGATAAATACTAAGAACCATACATCGAAAGCCTTCTAGACGTTTTCTTGTCGGCTGGTGGGGAGAGCCGAGGTCCAAACTACGCAACTACTGCAAAAACAAATTTCCTATGGCCACGTGATTGAAAGAGTTAACACGTCAAATGCGGCGGTTGTGACGTGGAATAAATAATGTTTACACATAAATTATAATACCATTTTTTACATCAGCTCTTCACCACAGTGATAAATCTGACTGGAATCTTTTTAAAACGAGAGTGTAGGAGCAAGAGGACAAATTACTCAGATTTCTAGGTAATTTATCACAAATGTGACATTGAATTGCCTTTGAGGCTGACTTTTATTTCGCAGGCGCGTTTTTCTAAAACTAAAACAAGGAAGGGCAGGAAGAGGAGGCGCCGTCAGTCCCACAGCCAGACGGTGATGGGCACCTGCGTGAAGGCGCCGTTGAGGAAGGACTTGAAGTGGCGCCCGATGCTCAGCGTCGCTGCAGGCTTCATCTCCGCCACGATCTCCGCCCAGTTCTGGTTCAGGAACCGGTTCATCGCCTCGCCTGCAACGGAGAGTCATTAAAAATATTACAGCGCAGTGTGCAGCAGAGATCTAGAACAGGGCTTGGGTTGAATGACTCCCGTGATGTCACTGCAGTCCCTCTGACTGGGAGGTCCTAGGTTCGAGACACGACAGTGGCAGGAATTTCGACACTAGCTTGTCAGCTAGGTCGAATTCAGTAGCTGTCTGGAAGAGAATTCTAGCGGCCGTCTGCTTCTTTTGGAAGTTTTCCGTGGTTTCTCCGATCAATACCAGGCGAATGCCGGAGCACTACCCCGGGCCACGGACCGCGCGCGATCTCAACTTCCGCTTCCTCGTCCGATCCTCGCCTCCTACCCACACTAACACGCACTACACTACCACACGTGCCGGGAGACCCGTCGGGAGCTAAGAGCTTGACCCGGCTGGGGCGGTGCCCCGCTGGAGGGAGATACTTAGTTGGGGAAAACCCCGCTAGCCGACGGCAGGTCGGCGCCGGATCTCGCCTTACAGCGGGGGTAAGACCGCCGCCACTTCCCGAGCAAAAAACATGCATTACACTTACTGGAGTAATGACCCTGGTAGTTGACGTGCCTAAAATCACTAAACAATCAATCAATAAATTGAATTCAATTCAATTATAAGAGGAACACGAATGTATATGTAAGAAGCCATTTTTTCTCTTACACTCACACTTCGAATACATGATACATTTGGAATAGACCTCAAAACAGAATCGGTTTAGATACATTCATATTTCCCCAAGAAATTTAAAAATTAATAATAGAAATTATTCATTTCATTTGGAAGCATATTTCACCAAATCATAGACTCTCCATATCATTTGTCATTGATGCACGTTTATGCTATTACATAAACATTTAATTTTTAAAAATTGCGAAAAAAAACATGTGGATACAAGATTTCATCTTAGTTTAAATAATCTATGAACAAGCAAATATCCCGTAATATTGTAAGCTCGTTTAGCCTTTCAGTGATCTGAAACTACACGTTACGCTCACATGCCGTGCGGCATTCTTCCAAAGTGTTAACTACAGAAGAAACCCCATACACACAAAGGAAGCAGATTTCAAGAATTCAAGAATTTGCTCACAGCTCATCAGTCATTTCAGTTAAATTTGTAAATCTCTGCCGCTAAACTATTTTCTGATCTCACAAGAAAGGCACGTTCTATGATTATAGGACACGGCGGATGTAATCTTCTGGAATTTAAAAATATTGTACTCTTTTTTTGCCGCTACTTAGTAAAGTGAATGCAAAAACGTTGTTAATGAACTTGAATACTAAGTATTCTCATGAATAATGTTATTTAATTGAGTCTCAGAGGCTCCCGGGACACTTCGGTCTGAAGACGCGTCACCGGACCCTAGAAGCGATAAAAGCGCTTTTGAATTGGGCAACTGTCAGAGAACTGACCCATTGCAGACGCTTGGCACCGGAAGACAGTGTAGAGGAAGTTTAAAGGCGAAGATCTGAATCTGTGATTTATCGAAACGTATTATTGCTACAATGAACGGTTATGTAGTGGTCATTGACCGTTTATACTTTTTGGACAACTGTTCTCGACTCATTCGACTGTTCTCAACATGTGCGAAGTGACACGCGTATATTTTCCTCCACAATTGTTCATTTATTTGGAAACCAATATTGTAATGTCGTCATATATTTAATTATGATTTTTTGATTATGTCAAAGTCAAACATTGTTTTGAATGGATTATTTACTTAGCAAAATTATACATTTAGCATTCACCGGTATTTATTTGTAGCACTTTTCACTTCACGAAGATATTTAACTTTTCAGCATTGTGATTTCAAAAGTTCGTTTAAAGAATATCTCATCACAAATGTTGTTTACTTCGATCCATTTGTTTAGTGCAAAATTGAGATAGGAAGGAAGAGATAATTTATTTGATTTCAGGTTTATTAAATGTTACCTAGTTTGGAATTATTTGAATGAAACAAATATTCGAAATCAATATCCATACTTAGTATTGTAGTTTAGTTTTAATAAACTATTCCTGTGAGGATTGTTGAGAAAAATTCAAATTTTGTACGTATGACTGAACAAGAATAAAATGTAATTACAATATCTCAATATTTATACGGAGAATACATAAATGTACTTATTTTTCAAAACATGTGTTTTCCAAAGTGTCTGAAATTGACTGAAATTCACTTCATTTTTGGTTATTTATTCATTCTTCCAATTATATTAATAAAAATTATAAAATACCAGAAGACTGATACACATTACATTTTTTAAAAAAATAGAAAATTCACTTTCAAAAGCTAACTTTTCAAAAAATGTGCGTTGAATTTTTATTTAATAGTATATGGGACAAAAGTTACAGAATGTTGCGTGAATTTTTTTGAGGAAGTTTAATATTTTCACTAGACCGTGCAGTGTCCTTCCCGAATGAATCGACTGTCCTCGTCGGTTCGTGGAGCGTGAGAGACAAATGAGTTCCAAGGAAATGTGTAAGAGTCAGAATGTATGGGACGAAGCATCTACGGACGCTTCATCTTAAGAATGACAGAAGGTCGCCCTGGTTCACAGTGGTGTCTCAGATAACTCGTTTAAAAAGTGGGGCAGGGACAGCTGGAGGGGAATATTAATAATAGTATCTTTATCTGAATCAACTGTTGTTAAATCGAATAGAGCAATAAAATGTGGATTTTGGAGGAAAAGTCTAGAACATTAAGACTTTCTGATCATGCATAATGGGCACCACACATTTGTTGGTCTAAATGTTCCCAATGGCTTTATTTGTGGAGGTTTCTTTAATTACTTTACGAAGTACATTCGTAAGTTATGAGATAGATGAAAATATTACATCGCGACCCAGGTATCAGATATTTCGTAGATGGATTCCTAGAAAAGCAATCTTAAGCATTTGATTACCTAATAGTAGGTTGACGTAAATTTATAATATAATTTGTTAAGCTAATGATGACAAAGCATTGAAAAATACAGATGATCTGTCGTGTTATGATTCTTAGAGACAGATAAGATTCTGAAGACATCCACTTCCCGAAAAACGGACGATGAATATTTCAATACTCTTCTTTGAGAAAAGAACGTGATATGATCGGAATGAAAATTTTTGGCGAGATAAGAATGTATAAAATGTATTCTTTCAAAGGATAGCGTCTTACTGCATTTTTCATTTCAATAGGACAGTATCAGTCAAGTTCATGTCTGTTTGATTATGATTGCTACTTTCCCCGTATTTTGCAAACCTAGCTGCCCTCTTTAATCTTAAATGACCAAAAATTAGTTTATTTGGAAAAATATCAACAATTGGATAGCTCCACCTTTTAGCAAGACCGTACTAGTTACGTTGCATTCTGTTACCTCAGTATGAGCATTTTGTTACAACCAAACATTACAACCAATTTTTAGGCAGAGGGCATGCAGTGTTTCGATGGTGTCTGCAAGGTCTCTGCCTACCAAAGATAATGTAGTGATCTTCTATTACATTATGTATCGTGAAAATTATGTATTCTAATGTAATAGGCCATATCTTGCATTTGTTTTTCATTTTTCATTATTATCCCTTCCATCAGTCATTCAATTAATCATTTTTCAAGGTACAATACGTTTCTAGATACAAGAAAGAATAATGAATAATATATTACACCTAATATATTCCTACCATAAATTGTACAAATGATTCTTAATTTTGAATTTTGAATTCGAAGTACGAATTTAGAAATCCTAGTTTTAAATTATTACAGGATGTTTGATTTCCAACAAGAAGCAAACGGCTAAGGCTTTTGAAGTTAACTTTTAGGCGTGAATGATTTAGGTTCCCTATTTTTTCAGTTGTTTTTAAATGTCCGAAGCAATTACAGTATCGACAAAGACAGACTGATAGCGATCGGTGCTTAATGTGACAGGTATCTCCACTGTGGGATCCGCCCGTGATCTCCCCTCGATTCAGAGAACTGCAGTTGCGGCTTATCCCCAGCAACCACCCAACAATGCAAATGGCCCCTATTTGTGGCCAATCTCTGTTATCTTATACTTTTAGTAAGGTGGCGCATGTTAAAAAGAAATACGATACTGCTTGTGGCCCATGCAGGCATCTCTGTTATCTTATAATTTTAGTAAGATGGCTAATGATAAAAAGAAATACTATACTGCTCGTGGCTTATGCATTCCATTCTTTCATGTGGCTTGGCAGTCAATGTTTTCCGAAGAATCCTAAGCACTGCATTCTTTCATGTGGCTTTGCAGTCAATGGTTTCTGAAGACGTTTCTAATATTCACTGCCAGACACGCACTGCAAAAGTCGAAGAGAGCGCCCCCCAGCCGGGGGGTCGCGGGCACTTACCGAGCACGTTGTTGGCGTTGAGCTGGTCCCTGACGCGGAAGCGCGCCTTGCCCAGCGTGAAGTCGACGGTGAGGCGCTCCACCTTCATGACGTTGGTGCCGTTGTTGACGATCTCGCGGCCCTGGATGCGCGCCACCGCCGTCACGTTGTCTGCGCACCAGCACGCGCACGCGCAATCTCACCTCCGCTCGCCCGCCAAGCGCATGTGCGCGCGTCCCAAAACAGTGTTGCCAGACGTAGCGGGACCACGGTACTTCCACCGAGATTTTAATGAATGGTACCATGTACCAGGAAAAACACATCCTGGTACGTTTAAATACCAGGAGTGCAGTTGTAATGTATGGTGTGTAATGGATGATGTACTATTTAAGATTCGTTTAAAATTTGTTTATTCAATAATTTAAATCCGATACGAATATTGAAAATATCTATGAAGTTGGTAAAGGCACAGCCAGAAAACCATCACCGGTGACATAAGATGTTTTGTTCTAGAACATGCTATAGTAGCAAAACATCTTAAGTCTTCCATTTACAGATATAAAATGAATCGATATCGAGTGAAGTTTGACGAATTTCGTGTGTGCGTTAAAAACATGAGGTATAATATGAACAATGTTACAATTTAAATCAATTGCCATTGGTCCCCGGAAATTTTAGTGAAAGTACCACGATTTTTGTAGGTTGGTACTGGAATATACATTTAATCATCTTGCAACGCTGCCCCCAAAATTAGCCCTCTCATTGGTCAGAATCTTGCAGCACTTCCATATAGTTGGCCTGATTCACTAGATGTTACTTATAATACGTTTCGTTGAAGAATGGCGTGAGTTGCAAGAATATGATCTTGATATGGTGTTATCACTAAATAAATCACGTTTAAATGACCCTTTTACTGACTTACATATTTCCACGAGGAACACACAACATAATAGACAACAAATTAAAAATGTATGTATTTGGTATTTTGGGTCGACGTTCTCACTTTGCCGTCTAGATAATGGTGTCCCCCAAGCGTGGGCTTTGTTTAATTCCCATGCACGTGAGGTAAGAGAGCCATGTGGCGAACATGACGTTTTCCCTTCACCGCAACTAGCAAACTCCACCTGCCTGAGATTTTCTTTGTCACACAAAAACAGAAACTAAAACGATTTTAAAGGATTGCTGAAACCATTTTTGCTTCGACTGGGAATCGAATCATGGGAAGCTAGTTACTGCCCAAGAACAATTCTAGGGGCCACAAAATTTATACTGAGCAAATAAATTTAAACTGGATTTAATATACTGACAACGAATTCCAATTCTAAAAAATTCATACAAAAGATGAAATAGAAACAAATTTCTTACATTTTTATAGGTTACTATTTGCAAAAACTGCTACTCCGGAGTAGTATTAATAGTACATAGATTGCAAACGATCTTTAGTTATTCTCACCGCATATACACAGCAGTATGTTGCTAGACACACTGCTATATATACTAGACACACTAGATATATACTCTCTGGCTAGACATACCATGGGACAAACCACAACTATCACACCTTCATATTTTTCCAAGGCTATACTACCAAGTACCTACCTGCAAAATTCCATTATATTCGAATAATTAGTTAATTGACTGCAGAGTTAACCGAGTCATTTAATAATTCTGTCATAATTAAACATTATTTTCGTGAATTATCTTTACAAATAAGAATTAAATGAAATATTTTCAGTGGAGGAAAAGAAAATAAGCCAAATGCTTCGTGTTTTTGTTGCAAATTTGCGAGAGTTTGCTCCATTGTTTCAATAAGGTTTCACTCAGCTCGCATGATAATCGTAGCGACACTGCGACTCAGTGAGCTACATTACTACTTCTGGGAACGGCTCCAAGATTTTGACCAATGAGAAGGCTTAATTTGAAGCTGAGGGTTACACATTGTTGTGATTTAGAAAGACAGGCGCGCAATGCACTTCAATTCTTCAGCGAAGCCAGTGCGTGCGCCATTGTTGGAAGACGAGCTGTTTTCACGGTTCGCGAGATATTATGAAAGAAAGGCTGAACTAAGGTTAGGGGTGAACTTGGACGATTTTGGCTGAATGCTTTGAGATGCCATTGTGTAAGGGTATGATTCTCGAGTTTGTTGTTTAATAATGTGTCTCCAACGTGTTTACAGCATGTGAATGCATTAAATTAAAAAAAAAACTGGATAAGAAACAGTTTCACAGACCATTGCAGTGAAGTAATACCAGTAATAATTACATTGTGTAATACCATTGAAAAAAATATTCACAACGTAAGTAATTTAATAACGTTCCGGAGTATGGGATTTGCACACTCTTAAATTCCAAACATTACAACATTTCAGTGTGCCGACGTTTTGGAATACGTAATTACATCTTCAGCATTATTAATGCTCTTTTTATTATTAACACTTCGACTAATATATTAATAGTGTCATTATGGATTGTATTTATAGCCCTGAGGGTAGAATTAAATATTCCGAAACTTCGGCGAAATTAAATATTTTGGTTTTTACTGTGATCAAATTCCATGGTTCGGAAATTTTTCAATGGTATACTATATTTTTCACTTTCTGAATGCGATTCGAAATTTTAAACGTTTGAAGAGAATCCAGGATGGAGTTGGAATTTCCAAATATAATTTCTGGCATGTTGAGGAATAAATATAATCTTCACAAAATATTTATCGCTATTTTTTTAGGTTGCTCCATCACACAAAAAACTGACTTCGATCAAGAATTTACATCCTCCAAATAATTTTTCTGGCGGAAAGCTGACTTCAAAATGCGAAAAATTGCATTAATAAGAACATTAGTTAAACACGTTTTGAGCAGGGATTCCAATTAAGCGATTGCGAACTAGGTTTCGCACCCGTGAATATTTACTATCGATAATCGTTGAGAATTTATAAACAAAAACTCTAAACAAAAAGCTCATACCCAATCCAACGCACGTTTACCTCATTATGAAATGTTCATAAGGTGCAATATTTGAGTATATGAAAGCACAACAGTTTTACTATTTGTCTTAACACTGCTGAAGCACATCTTAGTTAACAAACTTGTATTGTACATTTATTATATATTTTTAAAACTGTTATTTCTCATATAAATATTTACAAAAATGCATTCACGATTATTTTAACAATAAAAAATAAGCAGATTATGTGGTTACTAATATAAGTTTTCTGCTACCCGAAAATAAACACAATTACACACGCACACACACAATACACTACCACTGGGGAAACCAGCCGAGAGCCTAGAGCTTGTGCCCCTTTGAGGAGATTCCTGGGTGAAGAAAGCCACAAACTGATGTGATGGTCGGATCAAAGTGGGAGAAACACCCTCATTTCCTTATGTATATCACCACACGTACAGAATCAGTGCAATATGAAGATGACGCGTCCGAAAGTAATAAAAACTTACTTAAACATCCATCAAAACTCTATATAAAGGCCCTCACAGACCGCAGCGGGAGATCGGCAGTCTACGTGGAGTGGCCGCAGGGTAATTTTCGTGCCACGTGTTGCCATATGAGCACGTTCAGACCTGCCCAAGAAGCGACCGCCCTGACAGCGGATTGGCAACGTTTTATTACCTGCGGACTTCGAAACGCAGTCGGACGCGTTTCGACCGCTGCCGCTCAGGTTTCGTAGAAGTCTGCCCACCTTCGGGAGTCTTCGCTCCCCTCTGGGTTGAGCCCCCCTTGCCTTTTTTATCGGACGAGAAAAACTGTCACCAAACGCTGAGTCATAATTGAGGCTCCGGTGCGAACGGTCCCGCGGATTCCGCCGCCGCGTCTAGCGCGGATGTTTCGCGCCGCACCCGCTGCGGATCTCCTGCGACGGCCTGCGAGAGCCTTAAATTGGTGCAGTCGGCAGCGCGTAGAAATTCTCTATTTCCTGTATCTAGGTACTCGTAGGGCCGGTTTCACCACCTTCGGTTATGGGTTTAAGTCCTGTGTATTCGAGCTGATCGCGTTTAAGTATCTCGCAAGTTTTACCATCAACTTTACATGCTATTTCTGGGAATTCTGGGGCAGTTAATCGCCCAAGTTCGAATGTATAAGGGGGTGGTAATAGCGGTTAACTGTTTTCTCTTGCGCGTGAAGTAGGGATGTGACATCGACGTTGATATTTTCAAAACATACATATTTTTTTTAACAAACGGCGATGTATTTAACATCGATTTATTGAAGCCGATGTTTTTTAATATCGATGTTTGTAGCTTAATGTTTTTACTAGATTGATAATTTTTTTCCTACTTTAAAAGTATAATAATTAAAAGCGACAATAATTTTCACACACAGATAATTAGAACATTCTTCAAACCAAAGTCACAAAGAAAGAAGTAATTTAGTGGAATTTTTATTAATAAATGTAGTAGTTATTGTTGTTTTAATCACTAAAGAAATAAAGTTTGTTGACTAATGTGCATTTTTTACTCCGTTTTGACAGGGAAATATCGGTTAAAAATTAATAAACACGACTACCTTACAATGAAATTGCTCCCTCCCCGACCTGTAAATCCTAAAATTAGAGGTTACTAAAGTAGACAAAACTCGATGTTTCAAAACGTCAGTAGTTCGGGGCCGGTGTATTTTGAACGTGCGCGTTTCGTCGTCGCTGGCGCGGAGCTGTGCGCGTACTCACGGAAGGCGGCCCAGAAGTCGCCGCGGCTGCGCACCGGGAAGAGCAGCACGTTGCCCGACACCTCGTACCGGCCGGCGGTCTCGATGCGCGGCAGGCCCAGCGTCATCTCGATGCGGTACGCCGACACGTCCGCCCTGCGCACACCGCACACCGCACGCGGTCAACACTGCGCACGGCTCCTGATGAGACCTCGGTCCGCGGCGTGTAAGGAGTGGGGAGGTTGGGTGTTTCGACGACAGGTCTAAAGTGGTGGTGGTGGTGGTGATGGTAACGCAGATACCAGCCTTTTTGGAAATTTGTTTAAGGTCGCTTTAAGGTAGGTCATTAGGGACTGCTATAGATTAAAGATATGATTTAACAGTAGGTTATGATAGGGGGTGGAAGGAGGGACACAAATGCAACCATGCTCGAGGCGGGACTCGACCACGCGATCCTTCAGTCCCAAATCGCTACGGCACAATTGCCTTAAAGACCTCGGGCATCCGGATTGCTGATGCTAGCCTTGCTTTTTTTTTTAAATTGCGAAGAAATTAGGACAGTGGTAGAGTTTAGGACACGTCATAAGGGTTAGACTAGTTTGAAAGGTTTAATTATAATTTAAGTCCTAAACGATGAAACAATAACTTCTCACCTACATGCCCACAGTTGGACTACCCTTGTGAAGCAGTCAAGCTTGTTTTGTGGGAACAAAGTAAACATGAGATTGTCTGGGAATTGAATCCTGACCTCTTTAGTGAAAGGTAAGCGACTTTCACTCTGACCCACGAATTGGCCTAGGCCTAAATTATAGGCTCTGTAACTAGTTTTTGAATCCAAAATATTTCCTACTACACAGAGAGAACATTTCTGATATTCAACTTGTATAAATAACGCTTCTTGCTATAATTTATTCTGAATTTAGAGAATGCTGGAGTTTCCACGAAGCGATTCTGAATGGCAACGGTTCGGAATTGTTTTGCAAATATGCGATGGTCTCTGAAAGACGAACCAAGGGTTAGGAAAGGTTCTAATAATAAATGTTGTTAATGATACAATAACTTCCTACCTATACAACCGTAGAGAAAAAAACCTACGCTGATGTCAGAAGTTGACTCCTTCTCGTCTCATTGTAATAACTGTATATATGTAAGTATGTAACTGTTAATGTACTCTGAAGGCCCATTCACCATGCAAATGTAAACATAAGCATAAGACATAGACATAAACATTAATATAAGTGATACACTGACGTATTCACAATGTCTAACATAAATGTAAGAAAAATAAGTTTCTATTGGCTGTGAGGCATTCTAGTTTACTATTGGTTGGATGAGAAAATCGATTTTAAGGTATTGATGGTGTTCATGGCACACTATCGACTTCGATCCAATTTCGATTCGACATTTTTTTCTAAAAAATATCTTAATTTTTCAGCTTCCTAATAGTAGAACGGAAATATTATTTTAAGAATATTAAGGAACAATAAACCTTGTCGTAAATGGCAATTTCCTTTGAAAATTTGGGGCGGTTGTAAAGAAAATTGCATTTAAGCGCCATTGTAAATACGAAATTTGAACCAATTTTCGTACACAAATTTTCAAAAACTTCATATGACGTCATTTCAAGCACTTTGTCAAAAATGCAATAGTTTATAAATCGCGGGAAATGAGCATATTAAAGGCGTGAGTGATTTTTCAAAAACATTACATTTGTGTAACTTTTGAAAAAACAAATGTATGCAGCAGAATTAATTCCATGTCATTTACAACAGTGCAATTCACACGATCTGTAGGACAAGTTTGAAGATAAAATTTGGAGCTAGATTTGAGCAAATGGCGTTTGAACGTTTCTGAAAATGCGAAATTTTGAGCTAATTTTCACGGTAAACTGTTGAGTTTTCGGGAAACTACTTCTAACATTATTTAATGCAAATGTACTCATAAATACATTAATGTACAGAAATTGCCGCAAGTGTCAATAGTGCAAATATTAACGACGTGAGAGACAAGTAAAAATATTATATTTTTGGAAAAAAGAATTGAGCAATATGGCGTTTATGTTGTATAGAATGAATTTAGCACTATCCCTACCAAAAGTTTTAAAAACCATTTGGAGCCATTTTTGAACAAATCTAGTTTTTGTATCTTTTTTTTTAAATCACCCACAATTCGCAATATTGTGCAAAAAATACTAAAAAGTACAAAAAAATGTGCATGACCTCATTTAAAGAAATAAATATCGACAACGACTTTTATTTGAAGAAAAAAATCTTATCTTCAATATTGTAGTTGTATAAAAACAGCAAACAAAATTCAAACTTTTGCAATTTTCGAAAATAGTTATCAGTAAAAATCGGACCTATGCCGCGTTGAAAAGAGTATTAAATTACTCTATTCTTACAAGAAATGTAAAGAAATAATTTTGTGCAGTTTTCGAGAAAATTTTGAAAATGTTCGGAGGCTTTGTGTAAAGTACCTCCAAATTGTAGATAATGTTTTTCAATATCTAAAAGCTTTGACTCGATCCAGATGAATTGAGGTTTGGATTCGGAAAAAATCCGAACGAACGTACAGACGGACGTTTTGAAAAAAACATCACTTTTTTCGGTATCTGGGGACCCCAAAACATGTATTTCCGTTGAAATATCGAAATCGATTTTCCGCAACATTACATAAATTTCCCTATACTATCCCGTATATATACGCACGTAAACGGAAAAGGAAAAAAATAATGACTCATCGAACGCATAATGGTTAGTGTATCGACGTTTGTGGGGATCAAACCCAGTTGGCAATGGCAGAAGTAAATGTTTTGGAGGGGAAGACTCGTGACACTGATTTCCGGCATGGAAAACGTCAAGCATCATGACGCCCCTCGAGTCAAAACGTTCCTCATCCTAGTAATTACTTAACCCGCTAAGATATAGCAATATGGTGATAGGACTGACCCCAGTCACACGGTCACTAATAAGTCGAAAGAAGCAAAATTCATGGTTGAAATGGAGATCCCGGACAAGAAACGGCTTCTAAGTGAAGCACAGCGCATGAAAAACAAATGTAAACTACATAGTGGAGCTGTAGAATGCCACAGACTTTCTCGTACTAGTTAGTTTTCTAATTTCTTTCGAGTAGGCTAGCTTTTCATTACTGCATTACTCTACTCTTAGCGGCTACCTATCGATGCGTAAAAATGTGTTTTTCACATTTTTTCAACTCTGTCTCCTAATACTATATTGAAAATATTACTGTAACAATATTATAAAAGAGTAAAAATGGCCTTGTATGAAAAATATGAAAATTTTCTTGAGGCTTCATATAAGTATTCTCAAAAATTGAAATAAACGTTACAATTTCAAGGGCCTTGACATCACACAGATTGATTAGGAAATATCAATTTTGAGGAATGTGAAAATATTGCTTATGGTTTAGCTGCTGGCATTGCTCACAGACGGACGGCCAAACATTTTTTCTTAAACCAATTTTTCAGTGTCAAAGAGCAAAAACGTTGATTTTTTTGACCTCTCAAGATACTAGAGGAAGTAATTTACAGCATATAGAAACAAGAAGTATCAAGTGTTTTGGTATAGGGAACTTAGGATACGAATTACTCGTCATTTCAGTAGCAACCTATTTTTCAGTAATTTTACTTATTTCTGCAAATAAAAGTTATGTTTTGAAAGGCAATCTTTCAAAAAAAGCCTCGAGAATTTGAAAACGCCTCATCATATCGAAAAGCGGATTTCAGTTCCTTGAAAATCCATGACCTCGTTGCCTTGACACTCTTGCCGATGTTCTCCGGTTTGAAACTGCTTAGTCAAGAAAAAGTAACGTGACAACATTCTACGAATCGCCGTGGATACGCACAGGATTCTTGCAGTATCTGATACGATAAATCTCTCTACGTAACATTACCCTTGAAATTTCTAAGTTACAAATTAAAATGCTACTGCAGATGGAGTAATTCGATAGTGAACAGAGAAGGCAACATTCGTTCACTAGAAACCCAAAGACATTATTTAGGAAACTACAGCCAAACAAGAGTAATCATAAAATTAATTTATCTATTAATATCATTCACATAGTATTGTGGATAAGACGTACCTGATTTTCACGAAACCATGTACTTCATTAATACTCATAAAACATGATTGCCTGCTCATTTTATACATCTACATCAAACTAAAATTAATCCGTTTTATGTTCCGATAGTTTCGTTTATTCGTCTATTGATACGTTTACGAGCGCCTTATACAGAGTCTGTTGTTGCTGTAATTTCTTAACAATTTCACATGGAAACCGCCTTGACTACGGCCAAATCTTTTCGATTGCAAAGATAGAACTGCAGTCTCATCATCTCATCACTTTTCATTGATAGACCGCGATGAAGTTTGGTTAAATATTGAAGCTGGTTCGAAAATTAGTAGACATGATATTTAAGGTGATTTGAAGTGTCTGAATACACATGTTTAAAAGCCTGAGACCACGAATGCAAGCAAGGCTTGAAAGGCTGCAGCTTTCGAAAAAGCATTTCGTTTGATTAAAGTAAGAAACCTGTTATTTTGAAAGTTTGTATTTATATAAAATATTATTTTTGCTCATTAACATCGTAACCATAGAATAGAATAAATATCTATACATTAGACACTCACTGATATTTCAATGAAAATTGTTATTGGGAATTAAAAATAGCATGCTGTTTTATTTTTAATTGGATGCAAAATGTTCCGCAATTGCTAAGAAGTGAAATTTGTATTCCTTGGTATGTCTCAAATAACTTTTATGGTACTGCAAATATAAATACTTTATCTTATATTGACAATAATTGTAGCTATTTTCAGGTAATGTAATAATGATTGCTTCTGACCCCCTTGTGCGCATAGATATTGAAGGAAGGATGTGTTCGAATATTCAGGAATACACATTTCCAGAAAATGTTTATTTGGTGCCATGACCAAATCAATTTCATTGTTTACGTTCACATTTATTAGCGAAATGGAAATAATAATTGCGATTAGTAAATACCATCATCTTTACAAATTGAATACGCCTTAACCTAGCAATTACCATAAAAAGTATTTTCTTAAACGTCCCTGCCGTGAGACGAAATAGAACATGATGTAATTTTGGGTATATACACTAGTGTAATATTACGATACAAGCTAGGAACGAGCGAATATCGTAAACTTCATACCAGTGTATTAATACCCATTACATCGAGTTTCATAGAGTACTTTTTCTACGATTTATGGTAACTTTTATAAGTTAACCTTTTATATTGAATCGTTTTGTGGCAGTTGACATACAGGATTCAGCCAAGGCCACCTAGCGGACAGCCGCCCTAACGCAGGCGGATTTGGTGACCAGTCCGCCTGCGAGGGATTACTACGCTAGTCAAATAGGATCTAACACAAGTTACCAATCCAATTTATTTTAAATAATAGCCCACGAAACAATACTAATAATAAAATAAATTAAAACTTGGAAGCATAATATAATATTAAATGCTATCTTAATGTACCCAAACGAACGAAAGCTTTACTACAATGATTTTAATGATAAATTAAGTTTGTAAACTTCCCTGTAATTGGTAAAGAACCTGCATCGTAATGAAAAATGTATCGTAATGTGTATCATGACGGAAATGGTTGCAGTCATCAAATTACAGCATTATACAATGGGAATACGTAAAAGAAATGTTATTGCATAGCGACAAATAACTGGGCGGTTCACAAATAGTTCTTAGACATCAAATATATCGCAGTACTATCAATATTTTTTTATAAATTCGCCATCACACATCATTTGAAAAACAACTTGTTTATGACTGCGCTTATGACGTTTGAGTCTTGATGTTTATGACCGCCGTTGGACAGAGCTTCTCTATGGACTCGACGTTCTTGGTACAGCGCACTCTACTTAACGAGATCCGAAGTTGCCCGTGCAAGCAGTTGGCGCGCGCGCCGGCAGAGCGCGGTCGGGCAGGGCGCGATGCTCACTTGACGCCCTCGACGGTGTAGTTGGAGGCGCCGCGCACGTCGACGTCGGAGAAGACGGCGCGCACTCGCACGGCGCCGTTGCCGTTCTCCATGGCCAGGTTGTCCACGCGCATGGGCTCCAGAGGGGGCAGCTGGAGCTCGGGAATACCTGCAACGCACGCACTGCTCAATGCATCGGCACGCTACTTGCCTGCTACGAGCGCACTAGACGTTTTGCGCTTGTTTAAATTTAGCGCGCGGAGCGCTTGTGGCTTTTCAATTTCAAATGAATCATCATAAAATTATCATTGAAGTTAGAAATTATCATTGCATGCCTTGGAAAGTAAGTGAAGAATAGTAAATAACGTAAAAGTATGTATAAAGGGCTTGGCTGCAGAGTCCTACGCCTCATAGTGTTCATTCTTCGAAAGAAAAAAAAGTTACATAAAAATATAAACGTTTTCAGTTCAACCTCTGTTGACACAGGGTAAGTAACAAATGTTTTCTTAAGTTCAGAGTCATTTCTTCCGCCATCCTCACATTACACAAAATGAACTAATAATAGCTGTGGCTCGCATGTGTGAAGGATTATCTTAATTATTAACGAAAGTGTGGCAAAGGACTGAATTCAATTTGTGAATGAGTTATTACGGAAGGGAATAATACCTAGGCATGAAGGAACCGGAAATTCCCGGTATTTTCCTGTTGCTGGGCTTGGTGCTTACCTTTTTGGAGGTACGGCCTTAAATGGTTGAAGGATGAACGAATGCAGTCTTCGATTTTGGGATCCGTTCGGTTGCACGGCTTAATGTATTCAGCTGCAAAGGAAGAAAATAATGCTATAAGAAATTGTTCTATATAACAATAAATATTACATGAAGAAATAATTCATTATAGGTATATCATTCATTATTGGACATCATTATGTGACATAATGTGACTATTACATTTCAAAATTACATAATATTGGCATATTAATTTCCGAAAATAATTGCTGTTATGAATGCAAAAAGAAATTTAGGAAATATGCGTCATGACGAGAGGAAGCAAATTAAATGTTATTCCAGGTGAAGCAAATACCAGGTAGTATCAATTTGTAGAAAGAAACCATGTTTTTCTTGGGTAGGAGGCAGGTGGATGGGGTAATAGAATGTACGTGACCGGCAGTGAACGTAGAGGGGTTAAACTGTGCAAGGACGCTAGTAATATTAGTCCAGCTTGTTTAATATTTTTAAAGTTTGTTTTGGATAAATGCATACTTAATTTGCATATTATTAGTTCATATAAATCCGGGCTCTAAAAATGACTATCAATGCATTTAAAATAAGTATTCGCAGACTTATCCAAAACAAACATTACAGTCACTGCATTTGAGTAGCTTCTTCTGAATTTCGACATTTCACTTATCTTGAAAATACACAGAGAAGCACTTACAGGAATTGCTGACACAACGGTCGCGTAACTTTACAAGACGTTAGCTCTAACACATGAGCGGCCTGGAGAAATCTCAGTTTAGGCACATGTGCACACAATCCCTTGCGAGACCACGTAATTTTGTGTTTTCTCTGGTCAGACAATGAGCCCTTGACCGTAATTACGTTGAATGCTTTTCTCAACTTACTCTGTACTTTAATGGAATTTTGTTGTCAGGGTACTTTTTGGGAAATGTGATTTTTTTAGTCTTTACATCAAAATTAAATGAAGATGAAAGTCAATTATGTCCTAATTTACAAGTGTCTTCCTCCTCCCATTTAGCCAGAAGAAATCTCGAATACTATCTTCAGAAGCTTCTGTGGATACTCTTGACAGAAAGTTTCAGTGTGATGCATGCCAAAGGAGACGTTATAGCGTTCAGGTTGTTATTATACAAACAAATGCAACGCGAAAACAAATTCTTACGAATGAATTAAATACATTCAGTGGTTTACCCGTTTGCCGACTACTCAAATTTATATCCATGTTGTCTGTGTTTCAGAAACATATAATTCAATAAATTATTCATAAAGATAGTATTATTTACATTGAAAAGTTATTTAAGAAATCTGAAAAGTAAACATAACATTCATATACCACAATATATTACGAATACGTACATTTTTCATTACAGACTCCTATTCGGAGGCATAAAGAGGCTTTTTTAACCACTTATTCTCAATAAATTCTGAAATATCTTACTGTAACAGGAACGCAAATTTCTTGATCATAAACTTATTGTATGCAAATTTCTTTAAAACGAATATGTTAATTATGGATTAAAGACCCACGAGGTACCAACCCAAGTTCACGGTTACACTGAAGTTAAAACTAAATTTGAATGCTTGAACAAATCGGTGTGTTGAAAAGCCTTAGCAAAGTGATTCAGCAAGTTCGATTCCCGCCTTGGGCATGGATGTTTGTTGAAGTATTGTGGCGTGGTGGCACGTGTCCAACCCGCTATGCAGCACTTTCAGTGCCCCACTCTTTTCCAGCCCCCCTCCCTGCCCTAATGTGTGGTGTGAATGAGTCTACCTGTCAGGTGGAATATGCTTCTTAATGTCACCTAAGCGCCACCTGGCCTCCACAAAACCTTCCAAGTAATAGGGTGCAAGTTCCACCACGGGCTTTCGAGTCACTGTGGTGAGCATTTATCGTCTACAATGACCGACGTTGGTAGCTCAGGGCATTAATTGATGTGTCTGACCGGAAGGTTCTGGAGTTCAGTCCCGACAGTTACAGGATTTTAGACACTAGCAACATAGCTAGGTCCAATTCACGCGCCGACCGCACGCGATCTTTCCTTCCTCTTCCTTGTCATATCCTCATCTCTTACTTAGACACTTAGATGCACTGCACTACCGTACATGCCTGGTGACTGGTCGGGGAGCTTAGGTGCTCCACTAGTGGGAGACACCTGGTTGAGAGAAACACTGAAGCAAATGGGTAGGTCAGCACAGTATCTCGCCATCCAGAGGGAAAGACCCTAGACCCCTCTCGCGATGAAAAGCACGCACAACACTTACGGGACTAATTATTTTAGGAATTGCTGCGCTCGAAATCACCAACCAATTAATTTCGCCTACAATGGGCCTTCTAACTACAGCCTGATGCTCATGAATTTCGCAGAATTACAATCAATGAAAGTAATAGTATGAAAAATGACATATTTGAACTTTTAATTCGTACATATTATGTATTGTTGTATGCAGCCATGTGGCATCATGCCCTCGGTGGCTCGTTGGTTATTTGTTCGATATTAATTTAGGGAGTGGCGGTATAGTCCCCTTCAAGATTATATACCGGATGGAAGCATTTGTGATACAATCATTGATGACTCCTCCTGTTTCAGGAGCTTCAAACCTTCAGCATTCAAAAGTTCAATGTTTATTCACCTCTGAGAGAATGATAGGGGTATCAAGTCTAAAGCATTACGTTTTTAAGCAGATCATGTTCATCAAAAAAATATTATATGTAGTTCAAGTTACCAATTAGTTTTCTCATTAAACTAAATTTTTATGTTTCATTTTCCACTTTTGCAATTTTATTAGATATTGTTCCTAAAGCATGCCCTCATTGTCTTGTTGATTAACGTGCAGCTTTTCATGGGTTTGATTCTCGGTCGAAGCAAAAATAAATTGTGCGCTTTCCTTACATTGTCCCAGTATCTATTGCTGTGTGACGATAAGAATGATCACTTTTCTGGTTGAGACGAAGGCGTAGGGTTGTCTTCGGGCTAACCATACGTACCCCTTAACCCATGGCCGCAAGGTCGGCACGCTGCTGGTAGGTCTTGACTCGTAAAGAGCTGTTGTGCCATAGTACATACATGTTGCATCATAGTAGAGTATAATGTATTCTACATTGAAACTGAAAAAACAGTTTCCAAAGAAACAGGAAAGTCATAGATATGACTTTCCTGATTTTCTGCTACAATGAATATGGTAATGAAATCCGTTGATTATTTGTGTCAAAATGACGTATGTCTGTGAATGACGCATGAAATGGTGAATTAGTTGATCCGCACTTTTTAATCGTGAAAATAACATGACTTTATAATACATGCTAAAACGTGACTTTAAAATACATGCTAAAACGTACGGTCTCTAATTTAACATCTTTCTCTATTTTTTTTTTTTTGAAATGTTGGTACATACTTAAGAAACGTGTTTCTACGAACACATCCGCGTAATGTCTAACTTAAAATAAAAAATAAAAAGACTGCGCACACCTGAACGTTTACAGGAACGTTTTCATGTAAACATATGTCAGGAAACTGGAAATCACACTCCAACCTGTACAAATACTACGTTTCTCTTCACACAACTGAAGGAAATTGAAACGAAAAAGATGAGTCAGAGGGAGTCAAAATAATTTAAGTTAGAAATTCAGTTCTGGGAGTTTTCTAAAGGCGAAAGCGAAAGAAATTAATAAATAAACTAAATGATTTTTCAAAGAAAACCGTATCAAAATAGAAGACGAATTTCCGAATTTTGAGTTTGTATTAAAACTGGATATTTTCTGAGTATTTTCAATAATCTGTCTGTACTGGCACAACAGCTTCTAACTCCTCTTCCAGCTGCGTCTCAGCCTTGCGGCGTTGTGTTAAGGGTAGACATCCTGACGCCGTATATATTTTCAATAATGGAGTAATATTTGTTTGTATTCCAGCATTATAAAAGAACCTTTTCTGTTGCAAGAAATAGTCCATAATCGGGCATTTTACAGCACAAATGATGATGTATTAGCTTCCATGTCACGAATGATTGCATCATCACTCATTCATCCAATCGTAGCGAGATAATCGGGGGGAGGTAGAGCTAAACGGAACAGCAGACCATCGTTTACTCGCACGATGTCAAATATCCGAGTCGTCACAGGAAAGTTGTTTCGCAAAATTAAGTTTGATTCTCTTATAAAAGTATAATGCTGTTATATAAAAAAAGTATAGTACGCAACTAGTTTATAATGTTGCTTTATTACATTCGTACAAATTTGAAAACTCGCTCCTGAAGTCGCTCGTTTTCAAAACCTGTACTCATGCAATAAAGCTTAACATTATAAACTAATTGCATAAACTACTATTTCGTTGTCCTCATTACAAAACTTTGAAATTAGTGTATAAAAATGTAAAATATTTTTGTTGTATTTTGGAACGACTGCAATGGCGTAATGGTAGCTTTGACACTGCCGCATATTTGATCGGGAAGTCCTACAATCCGATAAGATTCGAGTCTCAATTGGATTTTCGACACTAGTTACACAACTGATTCGAATTTAACCACTGTCTGAAGGAGATTACTAGAGGCGGGTAGGTAAATGCTAATTGGTTGTTTTCTGTGCTTTTTATCAATACCAGGCAAATTTCTCCGCCAAACGAGCTATGAACCTTGCGTAGTCTACCCTTTCTCGCACTTGGTTCCCCTCTCCCCTTACACACACACACATACATGCACGTAAATAAGCAATATATCACACATGTCGGAAGCGTCGTGCTTGTTCTGACCGTGGGGAGACACCTGGAGCGGGAAACACCGCAAAATGACGGCGAAAGATTTCACACGTCAGTGGGGAGAAACACCACAACCTCAGAGATATAACATGCACTATACTTATGAAAATAATGACCGGGTGACGTGACCAGAAACACTAATAATCCGGTCATATGGTAAAAAATAGGGAAATTTTGGGTGTAGTTTTCAAATTTGGTTTCTATATGATTGTTGGGGCGCTGAACACGAATATCAGTCAATGAACATTTGTATTCTTCAAGATATTAGATAATGTAAGTCAATAGAAATAATATAACATACAATAGTTATAATAATAAAAAACCTGTTAAAACATTTGTATTTAGCAGATGTCTAAGAAAACCAGGGCTTTCGAAACATACGCGTCCGGGAGGTGTAGTCCATTGTCTTCCAAAAGGTTAATTTTCTTTTACACATTATTAATCAAAAACTTTTATTTGTCCAATTAAAGTGTAAACTGATTTCAAGACGCCATATTTTTGTACACCACGTTACTGGGCGTAAATTACCTATCAGAATTCGTGAGTGATTAAGGTGAAGTGCCTTTTTCACTGGAAAAAAACTTGCATATTTTGCACACTAACGGCAATACCATTCATCCTGGAAGAGAACCTTAAGTACACGAAATGCAGACAATTTTGTACTCTTTCATTTCATTTTGGGTGAATATCAACGAAAAATGGATAGTTTTTAAGTTATATTGAGATAAAGATGGATAACAGCCGTTTTTGTGTTTTGGTTACATCATCAAATTTTGCTATGCTGTCACGGGTAAACAGAGATAAAAGTCTTACATTAAATGTAGGTTATTTTACCTTCTTTCATTTATATAGGTCCATTACTTACGAAACATATAGAGGGTAGCCTTTGAGTTATTTTGAACAAAAAGGAAAGTTATTTTATATATTTTGGCCAAGCAATCTTGCTTCCGGACAAAATTATTGTTAACGTACCTGATATTCATGTTCAGCAACCCCAAAACGATATGAGAACCAAATATGAAAACTTCTCCACAACTTCCCGCTATTTATCCTTTTAACCATTTAAACTATAAATAATAATTCAATATTCGCGATTCATCTTTATTTTCTTGATTTCTTCCTAAAATTGGCCTTCTTCTCATTTGGTAATTCTGTTGCTCTAGCTGGCAAAAACGTTTTCTCATTCTGTATTAATTTCGTAGTTCTTTTCTTACAGGGAAGTGCCGCTTTTACAAAAGGTGTGATTTTGTGTGAATTCGTGTAATTAGTGTGCTTCCCTGGCCGTCGAGCAAGGCCGCCTGCAACTGCCGGTGGCGGAGAAAGCGCGTCCTCGGGCACTGGAGCGCTGCCGTTCCAACGCCCGCGCTCTCCGAGACGCCTCTTGCTCTGCTTTTTTTTTTCGTCTCCTCCCCTTGAATTCAGGTTTTCTGTTTCACGAGCACGCTGCGCCGTGCCCAGGAATAAATTGGTTCTT